GGAAGGTGCAGGACCAAGTGTGGAGAATGAATGTTCTGTCTTGGGTAAGGAAAATTGCTGCTTCTTGGAGCCGGATTGAAAGTGGAAGATTGACTGTGGGAGGCAGTGAGGAAACCGAGGAAGGGCCTTGGGCTAGGAGAACAACGTATTAATCTGTTTTGGTTTTGTTTTGATTTGAGACCCATGTATTTATCTTAAAATCATAAATTTTATGAAGGAATTCCATATGGAAGAAAGTGAAATGTAGTGATAAGAGCGGCGGGGCTGCATCCCCAGCACCCCAGCCGCCTGCTAGCTCATGCCCAAAATAACAACACACAACTGTATTCATTTAAGCACTGCTTGGCCCATTTCTATCTAGCCTCTTCTAGGCTAACTCTCGCACCTGGACTAGCCCATTTCTAATAATGTGTGTAAGCACCCCAAGGTGCGCTTACCGGGAAGATTCTAGCCTATGTCCATCCTCGGTCAGAGCTTCATCGCGTGTGCCTTGCTCTAACAGGAGCTGCATGAAGTCTGAGCTCACTTCCTCTTTCTCCCAGCATTTTGTTCTGTTTACTCCACCCACCTATGTTCTAACCAATCAGGGCCAAGCAGTTTATTTATTGCTTAACCAATGAAATCAACAGATTGATATATGATACTCCCACATCAGTGAAAAGTGGAAAGATAACTGACAATTAAGAGAAATTAATTCAAATTCAGAGATTTGCCTGCTTCTGTCTACTTCTATGCCCATATTCTCTTTCCTGAGCCAAAGGTTTCTCCCTGCCAAGTCAGGAAGGAATCCTACAGATTCCCTGTGGATCTGATCCTCCTGGAGGGAGTGACTATTTACTCTTGACTGGCCTTGAACTCGTGATACCCTTACCTCTCCAGTTAAATTGCTAGGATTCTGAGTGTATACCACCATGCCCAGACTAGAAACATGGTTTCTAATAACCAAATGATATTCTACAGTAAAAGGTATGCTGCCTACTATTGAGTTCTGAATAACTTTCTCCCATCAACAACCTGCTATTCCAGAATCCTCTATTCTTATTGGGACACAAAACTCTTCTTGGGGAAACACAACACACTTGTCTACAAGTCAGATAGGGAGCCCACAACAGAACAAAGCCCAACTTGGTGAACTAATGACTTTGATTGAGGTTTCTTACAGGAGTTTGGGTGAGGGGTTACTTCGAGGAACAGACTCAAAGACAGCTGCAGCACCAGAGCCTAGCACAGCATGGGTGACAGCTCACAAAGCTGTGACTCTGGAGCACACTGCATAGGCTACAGGCAGCTCAGCAGGTTGGAGAGCATCCTTTCCAAGTAGCTCTGGTCTAAACTTCTTCTAGGCAACTCGGTTGGTTTCTGATTCTTCCATGTACATGGTCTGTTGTCATTATTGCAGCTTGCCTTCTCTTAGGGTTGGTGCTGCTTTCCTGAGTCTTTCTTGTGCTCTGTTCTGCTTGTCTCAAAGGGACTCTCAGCAGTCTTTATTGATAACTCCAGCAGGGTGGGTAGCCTAGTGAATTTGATTGGGTTCAGTGACTTCCCAAAGAAGACACTGGGGATCATCTGTAAGTTCTCTCTCATTTCTGTATGAATGTGTGTGTTTCATGTCTCCCCTGAAGCTAAGAAGAGAGTACTGAAAAAGAGAAAGCACCAGATGATAATTAATGGCAAACCTGTGACCATTTTCCTGAAAACCACGAAAAAGCCAGTGGAGGATCCAAGATCCAGAACTCCATCTTTGACACAGCCAGCTGAGTTTCCAACACTCAGAAATTTATCTTTGAAACTGCCAGCTGAGACTACAAGCTCCACACCTCCGTCTGTAACACAGACAGCTGACGCTTCAAGCTCTAGAGGTACATCTTTGACAAAGCCAGCTGAGCTCCACACAAGCAAGATGCCCACAGCATTACCTTCTAGTTCCTGCCCACCGTCACCACTACTAGTGAGGCCCCAGAAGTCCATTTCCGGGATCCAGTGGGAAATAAAGAAGTACTTTGAGAGCCGGGGTTCAGATGGTGGGGAGTACAATGTCCAGCCCGTGGGTCCCAGTGCTCCTGACACCTTCGAGGTGAACTTCTTAAAAAGGGCAGGTGAGTTGGGACAGCAGAACAGGGCCAGGGTCAGGTGCAAAGGCAGCCATGCAGTTGTCCAAACAGACCCACTCATGCTTCCAAGGAGAGTCCACGGGAGTGTGGCACTGCCTGTTTGAGCTGCTGCTGCCCACAGACTTTCTCTATCCCACTGCGGGGGACAGAGCCTTAGATGTGCCCAGCCCTTGACCTGGTTTGGCTGCTTCCTAGGAAGAGCTTCCATTTGCTACCTGAGTTGCCCAGTTTCCCAGCAGACAGTCTTGAGGGGAGAAAGGGAAGTTGGGATGAGGATTGGAACAGAAACCAAGGGTCTTGTGCTAGCTAGGCAAGTGCTCCACCAACTGAACGACACACAAAGCACCTTTCTGTTGTAAATAATGCTTCCATTGACTTGTTTCTAAGGAATACAAAAGTAATATATGATCACTTTTTGAAAAAAGCCAAAAAAATTGCCTTGTGGTGCACTGTGGGAACATTCTCATGTATTCTTTTTTGTGAATCAGCTAATGTTTGTACATTTAAATCATTCTAAGCTTTGGGGTTATTAGTTTGCAGGGGTTTCCCAACTTAACTATACAGGAAATATTATTTCATGTCATAGAAATGAGAATTCGAGTCCATTACAGAAGCATAGGTTTGGCGTCACCCCTTTTGAGACAGTCTCACTATGCATTCTTGGCTGGACTTGAACTCATGATCCCCTTACCCTTACCTCTACAGTTAAATTGCTAGGATTCCAGGTGTATAGCACTGTGCTCAGAGGAGAAACATGGCTTCTAATAACCAAATGATATTCTACAGTAAAACTCATGCTGCCTTCTTTTGAGTTCAGAATAACTTTCTTTCATAACAACCTGCTATTCCAGAATGCCAGACACAAATGCTCAGGGCCTCTGTTCTTATCGGGACACAAAACTCTTCCTGGGGAGACACAACACACAAATCCACTCCCCTCAGATAGGGAGCCCACAACAGACCAAAGCTCAGCGTGGTCAACCAATGATTTTTATTGGGGTTTCTTACAGGAATATGGGTGAGGAGGTTTCTTTTTTTATTGATTTTATTGAGCTGCCCATTTTTCTTTGCTCCCCTTCCTTCCTTCCTCTCTCCTCCCCTTCAACCCTTTCCTGTGGTCCCCATCTCCAAATTTACTCAGGAGATTTTGTCTTTTTCTACTTCCGATGTAGATTACATCCGTGTATGTCTCTCTAAGGGTCTTCATTGTTGTCTAGGTTCTCTGGGATTGTGAATTATAGGCTGGTTTTCTTTGACTTATGTCTAAGCATCACTTATCAATGTACATATGATATTTTTTCCCTGAGTCTGGGTTACCTCACTCAATATGATGTCTTCTAGATGCATTCACATGCCTGCAAATTTCAAGATGTCATTTTTTTCTACTGTGTAGTGCTCCATTCTATAAATGTAGCACATTATCCTTGTTCTTTCTTCGGTCAAGAAGCATTTAGGTTGTTTCCAGGTTCTTGTTATGAAAAACAATTGCTGCTATGAACATGGTTGAGCACATGTCCTTATGGTATGATTGAGCATCCTTTGGATATAAACCCAAAAATGGTATTGGTAGGTCTTGAGGAAGGTGGTTTCCTAATTTTATGAGAAATTGTCATACTGGTGTCCCAACGGACTGTACCAGCTTGCATTCTCACCAGCAATACAAGAGTGTTCCTTTTTTCCTACAGCATCAGTGTTTTTGATCTTGGCCATTCTTAGAGGTGTAAGATGGAATCTCAGAGTTGTTTTGATTTGCATTTCTTTGATTGCTAAATATGTTGAACATTTCCTTAAGTATCTGTCAGCTATTTTAGATTCCTCTGTTGAGAGTTCTCTGTGTAGGTCTATACTATATTTTTTTTATTGGATTATGTGCTCTTTTGATGACCAATTTCTTGAGTTCTTTGTATATTTTGAGGATCAATCCTTTGTCTGATGTGGGGTTAGCGAAGATCTTTTCCCTTTCTGTAGACTGTCATTTTGTCTTGTTGACCATGTCCTTTGCTTTACAGAAGCTTTTCAGTTTCAGGAGGTCCCATTTATTAATTGTTTCTTTCAGTCTCTGTGCTACTGGGTTTATATTTAGGAAGTGGTCTCCTGTGCCAATGCGTTCAACTGTACTTCCCACTTTCTCTTTTATAAGGTTCAGTGTGGCTGGCTTTATGTTGAGGTCTTTGCACCATATAGACTTGAGTTTTGTGCATGCTGATAGATATGCATCTATTTTCATTCTTCTACATGTTTATATCCAGGTATGCCAGCACCATTAGTAAAATATGCTTCCTTTTATCAGTTTTATGTTTTTTGCTTCTTTGTCAGAAATCAGGTTTCCATAGCTGCGTGGATTAATATCTGGGTCTTCAATTCGGTTACATTGGTCCTCCTGTCTGTTTTTATGCTATTACCAGGCTGTTTTCAGTACTGTAGCTCTGTAGTAGAGTTTGAGGTCAGGGACTGTGATGCCTGCAAGTTCCTTTATTTACAGAATTATTTTGCTATCTTGTATTTTTTGCTTTTCTATATTAAGTTGAGTAAAATTCTTTCAAGGTCTGTGAAGAATTTTGGTGGGCATTGCATTGAATCTGTAGATTGCTTTTGGTAAGATTGCCATTTTTACTGTGTTAGTTCTACCTACCCAAGAGCTTGGGAGATCTTTCCATTTTCTAGTATCTTCTTTAATTAATTTCTTTCTTCAAAGATTTAAAGTTCCTGTCACATCATACAGGACTTCCACTTGTTTGATTAAAGTTACTCTGAGATATTTTATGCTATTTGTACCTATTGGAAAGGGTGATGTTTCTGTGATTTCTTTCTCAGACAAATCATCATCTGTGTAAAGAAGGGCTACTGATTATTTGAGTTAATCTTGTATCACACTACATTACTGTCAGTGCTTATGAGTTGTAGAAGTTCCTCACTCAGGCCTGCTACCTGAGAGGTCGCTAATTACACTCCCAGTCTGGCAGAGGTCTCTGGTTCAGGTCTGCTCAGGTGAGGGGTTTCTACAGGAGTAGAAATGACTTAAAGACAGCTGCATCACCAGAGCCCAGCCTAGCTCACAAAGCTGTGAATCTGGAGCACACTGCATAGGTTGCAGGCAGCTCATCAGGTTGGAGAGCATCCTTTCCAAGTAACTCTGGTCTAAACCTCTTCCAGGCAACTCAGTTGGTTTCTGATTCAGGTACAGGCCTGGTGTCATCATTACTGCTTGTCTTCTCTTAAGGTCAGTGCTGCTTTTCTGAGTCTTCCTTGTGCTCTGTCCTGCCAGTCTCAGAGGGACTCTCAACTGTCTTTATTGATTACTCTAGCAGGGAGGAACCTAGAGAATCTGGTCAGTTTCAGGGACTTTCTTGAGCCATTTTAACTTGTTCATGTTCTGTCATTAAGGTGCTTACCTTCAGGACAGAATGATTCGATCCTGAGGAAATTTAGACAATAGTCCTACATCATAGGGTTCATCCAACTAAACAATACACCATAATATGTATTTCCAGAGTGCTTACCTTGTATGAGGGATTAAAATCATCTATTGATTCTTAAGTCTATGGAAGGCTAGGTGGAGTGGCATAAGCCTTTAATCAGAGCACTCTGGAGACAGAGACAGGCAGACCTCTGTGAGTTCAAGGCCAGCCTGGTCTATTTAGTGAGTTTCTAGTGTGGTAAGGACTATTTAGTGAGACCATGTCTCAAAAACAAACAAACAATAACCAAACAAAAAAAAGCACATGGGAGAATATGGATAGCTTATGTGAAAGTCCTAAGCATATAAGGGACATCTCTGGATTTGGTGCCTTCAGAAGTTCCTAGAATCAACCCAGAGAAAACACTGGGGGTTATCTCTAAGTACTCTCTCATTTTTGTGTGAATGTGTGTTTCATGTCTCCCCTGAAGCTAAGAAGAGAGTTCTGAAAAAGAGAAAGCACCAGATGATGATTGATAGCAAACCTGTGGCCATTTTCCTGGAAACCACGAAAAATTCAGTGGAGAATCTGAGACCCAGACTTCCATCTTTGACCGAGTCTCTGTATGAAGCACTATTTGATGAAGACCTTGGTTATAATTCTGATGACACTATTGTCCAGATGGTGAGTGTTGACAGAAGAGCTGGCACTGTTGCTACAACTGCCCCTAGGTCACCGCTTCTGTCGTTTTGGTCCAGCAGCCTTAGCTGGGCACTAGCTGTGAGCTAGGTGCTGCTCTAGGCACTGGGCTACAGAGGTGAATTAAACAGGGAGAAGATTCCTGTCCTCATGCAGCCTGCATTGGGTAATGGGATCCGCAGACTGTAAGCAGGTAAATGAACTGAAGGAAAAGTACTTCAAAGACAGAGATGTGCTAGGAGAATAAAAACAAAATGTAGTTTTGCCTCTTAAGAGGAACAGGGTGAAGGCTTGCAAGAGGAAGATGAAAGACCTTCTTGCTGAGGTGACTTGATCCTGAGGCTTAAATGATAAGAAGGCACCAGCCATTAACAAAATGCATTCAACAAATAGATAGGTACTGCTTAAGGTTTGACAGACACTGTCATAGGGCTGGGGGCACAGACACAGTGTGGACTGCTCTTAGGGACTTGACATCGAGTAAGGGAAACAAAGAAGAGTTAACAGATGTATAATAGAATTCTTTCCAGTGACAAGTGCGGGAAGAATAAAGGGGGATGAGAACAGTGACAGAGCCACCATTCTAAACAGGGTGTAAACAAACAAACCCACATGATGCTTCATCTAGAGAACATGAGTAAATTAAAGGACCTGGTGTAGACCCCAGATTCAAACAGTATGTAAGAGCAAGGAGTGATTATTATCAGTGTATCTGAGGCCGTTCACCTGCACAAAATGGCGAAGACCCCAAGGGGAGTGGGTAGGCTCCTTTTAAGCACAGGTAAGACGAGTTTCAGTGACAATTAGGTCACCTCAAATACATTTGATTAAGCAGGCAACAGTTACATTAGTACAATTTAATTGGCTGTGGTTATAGTTTTACCCTTTGGGGCATACTTGGGTAAGGTAGTGCATGTTTGTTTTAGGGAGCTTACTGGAACTGTCCTTTTTGGTCACTGCTTTGAGGTACTGTGGAAGGTGCCTCAGGTCTGGTGTTTGCTGTCTCCCTCATTGTCCTTTTAGGAAACTGAAACTCAGGCCAGCTGTAAAATGGGAACACTTCAGACCTTTCTCTAGCTTCCGGGTTTTGTAGTAAGAACATTCTAGGCTGAGGGAAGCACATGCACAGGCCTCACAGGAACTGAAGCACAGTGAGGCAAGAGGAGGGGGAGGCAGTGAGCAAGGGAGAGAGCTAGGGACAGAAAAGGGTACTGTGAGACAGGGTATAGGATTTTAACTCCAGTGGGGAACTTCTCCTGATATTTTTGAGCCTCATGATAAGGGATCTTGATTGCACTTTTAAAAAATATTTATTTATTTTAGTGTATGAGTCGGTGCTCTACCTGTATGTAGGACTTATTCTAGAAAGGAGCAACAAAGCCCACTACTGATGGTTGTGAGAACTGAACTCAGGTCCTCTGGAAGAGCAGCAGTGCTCTTGACTTAAAAAAAAAAAGCACCCAAATACAAACTTTGTGATATATCAAGAGTCAATTATTTTAATTGATTTGCCTAATAAGCCTCCAGAGACAAAGCAGTATGTCTTCAAAAGAATGGGACTGTCCCTACTGTCTGGAAAGAGCTTAAATGTGGATCATAAGACATTCTGGATGTTGACAGGAATGTCTTAAATGCAACTTCACCACCTCTCAGAGGCTCTGCTGACAACTCTGGGGCCTTAAAGGCGAATGATAACAAAAATTCCTGTGCTGTCTGCAAGTGCACCATTAGCAACAAGCGTGTGCTCCCTAAGTGCAAGCATGAATTCTGCTCCTCTTGTATCACCAAGGCCTTGTCATTAAAGCCTGTCTGTCCTCTGTGTCAGACGTCCTACGATATCCAGAAAGGGAACCAGCCAGATGGAACCATGACTTTCACCACTTCAAGACAGTCACTTCCTGGTTATGAAGACTGTGGCACAATTGAGATTCAATACATTATGGGAAGTGGCATCCAAACAGTAAGTGTACCAGGGAGCGTGAGTTTATTTTGGCTCTGCTAGAGTTACCAGCACCCAAGGGGTGGTCCTGTAGCCTCTTAAATGTTGATTTTCCTGGGAACTCATTCAGTGATTTAACTAGAGACCATTTAGAACTTGGATGTCTTTTCAGCTATTTCAACAGTGTTGGGGCTGAACCCAGCCCCTTGTGCATGCCAAGCAAGCACTGCCAAGCTGTGCATCTAGACTTTCATGTCTTTTTGAAGGTAGACACCATATGTTAGGATGGGTCAAGTTGGGTGGGTATGACTGTAATCTGAAGAGGAGAACTATGAATTATTCAGAATATGAACAAAAGAGCATTTTTTTGGTTTTCAGTATACTTCACCTATAATGCACACACCTTTAGTATAGTAGATTTCAGAGGCATGCCATTTTTTATCAAACATTTTCCTTTCCTCATGCAGAATGAGCACCCAAACCCAGGAAAGCCTTATAGTGGAACACGACGAACTGCATACTTGCCTGATACTCAGGAGGGAAGACACGTCTTGGGTCTGCTCAGAGAAGCCTTTAAGAACAGGCTGATTTTCACAGTAGAGGACTCTCGAGTACCAGGAGTGTCTGATGTCGTTACATGGAATGACATCCATCATAAAACATCCACGTTTGGAGGACCAGGAAAGTAAGAGCCTTTGAAATGTAATGGTTGCTGAACAAAGTATGGGGGTGTTAAGTGCTGCGGTTTGAGGCTGTGGTATGAAAAGGCCTTCCAGCAGTAGATGTTAGCCCAGTGTCTTAGTTAGGGTTTTTGTTGTTGTGATAACCAAAAGCA